ACATCATGACTATATATGGGCACATCATGACTATATATGGGCACATCATGACTATATATGGGCACGTCATGACTATATATGAGCATACAACAGTTGTTTTGTCAAAGAAAATTTGATAGTGTTGGCAGAGCTTCAAGCCTTGTTAAGACTCAAGACTCGCAAATTTTATTTGACATGACATGCCTAAATATGGTCATGATGACATCACATCATAACCATATATAGGCACGTCATGACTATATATGACTATTAATGCTTTCATTGTTCTTACAGACCTGTGTTTCACTAGCCTCCATGAATGAGGATACAACCTCTCCTGCAGTCTACCAATGCATCATGAAGGGCCTCGAGAGGCTGCTTATATCGCAAATCCCAAGCTCACACATAGCAGATATTTTAGTGAAATTGAGTATGGAAAGGTATGGACCTACTAACCACAGTTACAAGTAATAAGGAAAAGTTGAAAGGGGGGTGGTGGGGTGGGTGTGCATTTAGTATACTATTTATCTTGACTGGTGGTAAATATTATACTAAATTTCATTAGTATCAAATTCTTAATAGTTTCACATTTTTATTTTTACTTTTGTAATCATACAGTAATTTTTCTGTGATTATTTTGTGATTTTTCTGTGATCATGTGGTGTTATAATGTGATCAAATGGTGCCACATTGCTGCCTCCATTGAATTGCATTGGTCAACCATGGATCAGTGCAGTTTGTGCTTGGCTTCAATCTCACCTGATTGTATTCCTATTAATAATAATTACTGTCTATTTTATCTGTGTCACAGGCTCTGTATACTTTCCCCTCATTATTCAATACCTGCCCTCGGACTATTGTTAACTTGCCTGTACACTGGAGAAGATAATCACCAACCAACAGATGAATCAACTGGCCAATTGGAGCTCCAGGATCCTGAGAAGCTTCTAACAGCTATGGAACGGGTTACAGTACTTTTTGATAGGTGAGAACAATTCGAATATCATATACTGTATTTGATTTTTTTTTCTACCCAATTTATTGAATGTGATCAATTGGAGAAACTCAGAGCTTTATTATAAAAGTTATAGTACTTAGGTTTTTTTTTTAATCCTGACATTTTAGTACAATTTTATATAGCAAATAATTCATTTCTTTAATTATATTCTTAAAATGCATATAAATTAATTTTTTTTTTAAATTCCTCAGGATAAGGAAAGGGTATCCATGTGAAGCACGGATTATCGCAAAAGTCATCCCAGCATTCTTGCATGATTTCTTTCCACCGCAAGATATAATGAACAAGGTGATTGGAGAGTTTTTATCCAATCAGCAGCCTCATCCCCAACTCATTGCCATGGTAGTATTTAAGGTGAGTATCCTGTCTCTTGTTGTTCATGTGTATGTGCCACCAAGTGTATCACCTGGTGTATAACCAGGTGTATCACCAGGTGTGTCACTGTGTATTTATGTCAAGCATGCTAAAGGCTATGTTCTCACACGGCAGCTAACGGTTAGCAGGATCCGGATCCTGCTAACCATTAGCTGCCGTGTGTCCATCGAGAAAATCCCGATCAGGATACCAACAATATGATGATCAAATCACTGGCCAATAAGAAACTGGAAATTGTAAACGCGTATGTGTGATTGGTGTGTGATAGAAACGCCCTCAACTTACTAACCGATAGCGCTTGCTAACCGTTAGCGTATCCGGATACTGCTAACGGTTAGCGCTAACTGATCGAGCGTTCTCACGCAGGTGCTAGCGGTTAGCGCTAACGGTTAGCTCCCGATCCGGATACTAGGGCTCTCGTGAGAACCAGGCTAAAACCATAATTGTAATAAATCATTATTTTATGCACAAATTTCACCTGTATATTTACAATATTAGTATTTGCATAATATTCACAGGTGTTTGAGAATTTGCATCGGAAAGACCAGGTGCAGCTTGTGCATGATTGGGTTTTGTTGTCGCTGTCAAACTTCACCCAGCGAACGCCAATAGCAATGGCTGTATGGAGTCTCACCTGCTTCTTAATTAGTGCTTCAACCAATCAGTGGATAAGAGCTTTGTATCCTTTCCTCGTTTAGCTAATTAATAAAAATATTTAGTAATTAATTGTTTGTTCTTATTTTTTTCTCATTAATAATTGTCAGATGTAAATAGTTTACTGGACCCATTCAAGTTATCAATTAATTACTGTATTCAGATTCAGGAAATTAAAAGTCAGACATGTGCTTACAGTCAAATTGATTTGACTAGGTGACTAAAATATATTTTATGTTATTGCTAATAAAAAGCATGATGATTATACATAGTAGTATCCCTACTAGACTTCCACCTCTTTTCTATTGTTTTCCTGAACCACATTATCCCAGTATGCCATATGTTGTGAGTCGCATGGGAAAGCTTGAACTCAGAGATAGGGAGCATTTCTGTGTTGTTGCTATCGACTTTTTAAAGAATCAGGTATGTTCACAACTGTGTCTTAATGACATATCAACTTTGCTCCATAAAATTTGTAATGATACTCAAAGCATCACAATGTTTTGCTGTAAATTTTACATGTATTTCTTGCTGGACTTAAAATCCATGCTTTTTTGAAGCTTGCAGTAACTATTGAAAATGTTATACAACTAAAAATCTATATCTTAACTAAGTTCAAGTGTGTTGCATGCATTTTCTAAATTTGTGTGGATAATGATTTATCTAAATTACAACTTTCTTTTTTATTTCAGATTCATGATGAGTCCAGTAGACGAGCTTTTATTAGTACATTCCAGCCTGTGGCCCACAAGAATACCCCTTATGCCGATCTGCTAGCCTGCATAAAAACACCCCCTATGCCGATCTGCTAGCCTGCATAAAAACA